CTAGCACTTTGGTTAAAATAGACCCTGTATCAGGGTGCTTAAGATATAACCCAATTTCAAAGCCTCTAGTGTATTTATCATCCGTTGTTGGGAGCCTTCATCTCTGTTGTCACTGGCCTGTACCTATAGATAACAACGCGCCGTGCAGTATCTAAGTATTATTTGTTTTCATTATCGTTGCTGTTAATGTTAGTGTCCAAGACTACATTTCTACTCGACACAGTCTGAGTCATTTATAAGACAAAAGATCTGGCTCCGCCTCGGATTGAGAGAACAAGATCGACAAGGGGCGAAGGAAAAAGTGTACGACTCAATTTGAAAAAATATTAACACTGAGACAAAGAGGAGAGGACTTACGTTGCGCTGTATAGTATTTGAAAAGTTCAGCGCTTGTCTTCGCCTTCCCCATCTGAATTAATATCCTCACCTGCATTCCAGCGATTTAAAATTATTAATAATTTTCAAGGGTGTCCATAATATGCGTTTTTCTACATTTTCAGGAACTTCCTTTTAACTTTCTTTTTTATAACCAATTCCATATGTTTCTGTTGCCTTGAATTAATGTATTCCTGGAATTCTTGCAAGTTTGTTTGTTTGTCTGTTTAGGTTGGGGGGGTTTTAACCGACAAACATACGTGCGCTCTTACAGCCTTCCTTTTCTAAGCAATGGGAGCATAACTGTCCTCTGGTCTACTTTATTTCAAATAATGATGGTCAGATCATCACCATCATCATCATCATCATCATCATGATGTAGAGAAGGCTATAAAATGCAGTTTACAGAAAATAAAAGCTTAGAGCATTTTCATATGCAACGGTTTATTAGCTGAAACAAAAATATGACGAACAAAAACTGTTCTTTTCAATTACAAAATATACAAACACATAGGAAGAAGACGAGAGCTTCCAGTTTTTCTAGTTACGGTGGTTATTTATCCAGTTGAGGTAGTTGCTAACTCTGGCATAGAGTCCCAGGGATTTGCCACACTTGTTCTTTATTCCAGCAGAGACGATACCGTACTGGTAGTACCTCCCATCTGCCTCCTGGCACACCAGAGGACCGCCAGAGTCACCCTAGAGTTGATGGGTAAGGGAGAGGGAAAATTAATAAAGACAACACTGTACCCCTAAGCATAATAGTGGCCTATCTTCGTTTTAGAAGTTTTCAGTCTAGCCCTTTTTTAATGTATAGATGTGTCAACACGTTAATCGTTATGGGCAAAGAGGTTCGGTAAGAGTCACCCAATTTTGATCATAAGTAAACAAAGATCACTGTTATTATTCTGAAGGGAACAATAAAATTTAAACCACAGACAAGGAATGACTCTGCATTCGTCTACTGAATTCTTGAACATGCGGTAAAATGTTGTTATGTACGAGTACATTATTACTTTGACATCGTCCGAAGAAGAAGAAGAAGAAGAAGAAGAAGAAGAAGAAGAAGAAGAAGAAGAAGA